GGCTCGCGCCCGGCGAGGACGGGACCGGGAGCCGGCCCGCACACCTAGGTGCAGCACTTTGCATTTCTCCTTGTTAAATTGCATTCTATCATTTTCTGCCCTGAGTGAGTACCATCACTCCTTTTCACTGGATAAGGATGTGGGAGTTGATCTTCTGCAAAGATACCATTAGAACAGTGGTTATCAAACTTGTTAGACTCAAGGCACCCTTTGGAAGATGCCAGCACTTAGCTGTCACTTATGGCGCAGACAGAAGAGGCAACTCCCTGTTGCAACTCATAATGCTTTATAGGAAGTGCTATGAGTTGAAACAATCCCCTGGATCCAACAAAAGTTCGCTGTTGCGTCTGGGAGTTAGGCTTTCCAGCTGCTTGCTGAAGCCTGCAGCCTAGTCTCCATAGCAATGCCACCCTCCACTCCCAGCTGGGACACTTCAGAATGGGAGGGGGGAAAATGAAGCACAGGGAGCTTGCTCTTGGGGTTCCCCAGCCAGCACTGGAGAGTGGGGTGAGTGAATTGGAGCCTACCTAGGCCTTATTCCCATGGTGGAGGACTCCAATACACCTGCCCCACCCTCCAGAGCTGGCTGAAAAGACCCCAAACCTCTGCTCCCTTTCCCCACTCCCATCTGGAAAACAGCAACATACTAGGAGCGCCACAGACACTAGTTACAAAATGCACTCCATTATGAAGTGTGTTCATCTGAATCCCCATGCAATAAGGATTCAGATTTTTGCAGGATTGGGCCCTTTTAAACTAGTTTAAGAGCCTAAGTCTCAATATAAATATTAAACTGGAAAACATTTGACATGAAACATGTCTGAAAATAAACTGCACCTCTTTAACAACAGGCTAAAATACATTTCCAATTTACTTTTGAGCATGCCAAGGATCACAAAACACAAAAATTATCAGATATGCCTCCCCAAGGCAGTCAAATAAAATTAAAGCTTTTGAGGCACTATGCTTTATAAAGAAGTGAAGGGCACTTGTGCCCCACCTGACTTTGTGGAAAGTAATGAGAAGGTAATGGCTTGTTTTTGGGAAGTGTTGAACAAGGAGTGGACATGACAAGGTGATGGCATATTTTAGAGGGATTATACCATTATACTATTACCTAAGTTAGTTTCTTCTGATGGGACGGGTTCTGTGACGGTTCTATCTTCTTTTCCAATTGATGCATCTGTATTTTGACTTGGTCTTTGCCACATTGAATGAGTAAATGAGCTGTTCACTGTGAAAATAAAAGTGAAAACTGTTGAACTATGGCATCATCATGAAATTTGGGGGTCCACTGCCTCAGCAGGCTCAGATGCCAGAAGTACTGCTTACCCCATACCTTGCATTATTCGACAACCAATCAACTCCACCTTCAGGGCTATTCTTTGGTGCCAGGTCTGTGGAACCACCCGTACGTAACGGGCTACTATAGGAGGGATAAAATTATTACGTACAATGTCTCCAAAATTGGAGTTACCATGGAATACCTACAATACATAAAAAGTAAATAAGTAAGCACAATAAGTCTTACTAGCTGTATTTTAAAAGTTTGATTTCCCCTTGTTTCCCCCAATCTTCCAAATTTAAAGAGTGAGACTTGTCAACTCAAAAGTCATTTACAAATATGTCTAAAACCCATGTCATAATCTTAGGATTTTACAATAAGAATTTCAAAAGAAATACACATTTTACTACTTATGTTCACATTTTTCACTTAAATTCAGCATAAGGAAAGAAATAAGACTTCTCAGCTTCACTTTTGTTTCAGTTTGGATTTAACTTTCTAGCTAGTTCCCAGAATGCAGCAGTTACATTACAAATATTCATACCCAAATGCTTCTCCAGTCAAAAAAAACCAAATAAAATTGGTTTTACTGACAGCAAATAATGAAAATATTTTATATTTTGCAAAATAATTTTTCTTTAAAAAGACTTGAAGGAGTTTGACTGTCCCTTTCACTATACTTCCAATAAGTGATGATCTGTTGAGCCATTCTCAAAATGAAAATGAAAAACGCTTATTAGCTTAAATGAAAATCACATAAGGCAGCAATCCTCATAATGTTAGTTCGTTTGGCTTATGATTCATGGGCTCAGATCAAGTATAGCTTCTTTTAAGGGTTTTTTTGTTTTTTTAATTACAAGCCATGTGGATCAGTTGTAAACTGAGACTTTGCTTCATGTGGAATAAAAAAAAGCAAATCCCAAATACATTCAATCAACTCTTTAAATTGTGAAGAACTACCATGGTGGAAGAATGCAAAGCAGATCATTTTAAATATCTTAGTTTCATAATTCAGCCACTACTGTATTCATTTTTCAGTCTGCAGGCAAAAACCCTGTACCTCTAAGATATTAAATCCACATTGTGCAGTGAAGTAGAGAAAGATTGGGATTGTAAGTAGTGTCTTCAAAATCAGCTCTACTAGTCTTTAGAGAAAGTTTTTGGTTATATTGAAGATCAAAGACCACTTAGAACCTGATCCCTGAGACATGCTTCATAATTCCCTTTCAAAGTAATGGTCATAGTAACTATTAAGCCCTGGAGGATTGTCAAGGAAACTCAGTGTTGTTATACGAATGCAATCTTCTAACTCAGGCCGTCTTCATGAGAAACTGTCGCTAATTTGTCTATCAAAGCAATTTAAACCAAATATATTGAAAGCCACTGTAAAAACTCTTATTTTGCTTTACGAGTATTTATTTCATTTTAGTTAAATCAATTCCTGATACTTATGCTACAGGCTCCCAACATGCTTATTGTGGAGTAAACTGACTTTGTAGCATAAATGAAGCAGACACATAGTGACATAGCCTTACACCAGCATACATTGATCCTGTACATGTTAAAATTATACCTCAGGAAGTGGGGCATAACTTAACACAGGTGTAAATTATCCAGATGTCTTAATTAGTGGAATAGACACATGACCAATGTCATCCCTGGATAGCCCCTTTCCTCAGTACAAACCAGTTCCTCCAGTTTGTTCAGTCTCTGTGGTGCCTACTGTGGGCAGGCATTTTGGAAAAGCAGACCAAGTGTCTGCTCCCTACTACAGAGTACTTTTACTACCGAGTAAAGTGCAGAGTGATTGTTTTTCTTTAGTAACTGTGTTGTGTATCTATACCCTTAGATTTGTGATGGCAGAATTATCATGGTCAGGTAGGTGAAGGGGCATAATCCTTTTCTGACATGGCTGTGTCAACAGAAGGACATACTGTAGACAGGTCATGTTAGCAAACGTGCACTTTTATCCTCATGACTTGGTTTGCTTGTGTATATTTCTAGTTTAGTACAAAGTGTATTTTATGAATATACTACACCAACATTGCTATACTAATGAAGTACTCCTTTTGTAGGCATGGCATTAAGTTAAACTTTAACAGAGTGTGTCTAAGTAGTTTTCTGCACCAATTCAGTTTAGCTAAATGAGCTCCAAAGAAAAAAAAAAGAAAAGAAAAGAAAGAAATCACACCTTTAGTTTACCTGGTGTGACTGTTTAGACAAGCCAAGTAGATTAGTGGTAGAGGCTTGTATAGATTTGGTTAATCTTCAGCAGTGAAACTGCACTAATGTACTCTGCTGATGTAGTGGATCTTTTCTGACTGAAAATCTGTCCCTGAATGTCAAGTCATTTAAAGACATTTTTTCAAAAATTCCCTTTCTTTTGTGTTTTTGCTCCCCACACGTCTCCTTTTACCTTTTCTTCATTGCTCAGTATTCCCTTGTAAATCCTCCATTTTGAGTTGCTATTTTTATAATTCATTGTAAATGTCTTTACATAAAAGTCAGAATTCAGCAGAGTGGTTCCTGTAGTCCTAATCCCTTGAAACAGAAAAACAAAGTGTTCATGTATGAGCTTTTTTTCTAAAGGAACATTTCAAATGCAAATTCACATGTAAATACATTAAAAACAAATGAATGTTTCCATCTACAACAGCTATTTATTTTTCAGAGCAAATCTGGAGTTCTACACAGGTTAAGAAGTGGAAGGGAGAAGTCAGATTCATAAGTCAGTTTGAAATTCACAGTATAATTCTCTTTATATAAATAGATGCTACAGAATTTTAAAGGTAACCAGATCAATGACTCCAAAATGACAATAGCTTTTAGAGATTATGGCCCATCATGGCAGTCTTTAAAACTTTCCAAGTAACAGTAATTTACATTTTAAGACTATATGAATTGGCAACTGAAGTCCCTTTCATCCATATCATCATTTCAATTGCTCTGCCTTAGGTAATTCTTTTATGGATAAAATGAAGTGCATCATAAATAGTACCCAAGATGACATTTACAGTTTAATGGACACAATAGCTCAACTAATTACTGATTTTGCAAAATATTTTGCACAAAGGCACAGCATACTGTTTGTAGCTCACTGATATGATGCAGCATGAGGCAGGATAGCCCAGCCCAATCCAGTACTCCATGTACATCAAATACCTCATCACTGGCAAGTTGGGGGTCTTAATATCTAAACCACCAAACTGTGATAAAAGTATAGGATGCTTGATTGATTTTAATAAGCAAAGGAATAGACATGCTACATTTTGACATCATGCTATTTCCAGTAACTAACATACATGTCAGACGTACTTAATTTATAGCCCCAGCAGAAGAGCCACCCAGTGTTACTAAGTACACAACATACCTGTTATTCTCTTTTTCTCTCCCAGGTCTATTTCTAACCACTCCTGTTGGCTGCTGTGATTAGAAGCCCAAGACAACCCTCGCACTTGGAACCAAGCCTTGTCAGGAGACCAGCGAACAACTTCCCCAAATTCATTGATTTCTTCCCAGGAGGAGGACGCAGTAATATGGGTCTGGAAGAGGAATCCATCTTCCAGACTCAGAGATTTATTGCAGCCTAAGAATTCCATTACAGAGAGAAACAGAAGCATCAACTGACATTTTCCCAGCATATTCTATTTTAGGTCAATAATCTACCCAATTCTGTGCCCCTGCTCCCTACAATAATCAGCGCACATTATTCTTCTATCTATTTTACTCTTTCTGTCTCTCCTGCTACCATTCACTAGTCACTGTTTGCCAATAAATTCAGAGCAAGCAATCTAATATCAGATAATTATAGTCACCTTCCTGGCTTCTCACATAGACATGCACACACAATCACCTCTGACACTGGGCTTGTTTGCTATAATTTGTCTTTACCATTTTGCATTTGGCTTGTCGTTTCTCCAAAACTATAACACTTGTGTTCCAATGTATACTGATTTGTATCAGACCTACATTTTCAAGCTATTCCTTTGAAATCATGTTTTGACGTTTGCATTTGTCCGCTGTAAAGAATGATCTTTGGGAAACAGAAACATGCTCTCTGTGTGAGGGGGAGACGTTGTACTATAAATATCTCATTGTTCATACCACCAGTTAAAGTTTATTCAAATTAGCTGGGTTGAAGAGGGTTCTTGAGACTAGTTAAAAGAGGTGATACCACGGTGATAAATAGCTGCAAGTGAGCATTACTGTACTAGGGAACCAACAGAATTTCTACACATGCATATTCTCCATGAATACAAGCCAATGTACTGTAGTTTCAGTACTAGAAAACAGTGTAATATATGAAGTTAAAAGTCATTCCACAGCATTTCATGGGACTCATTATGTTTTACAGTTTTCATACACGTATAATGACTTCACCTAAAGAGATTAAAATATAATTCAGTAGTGGACCAAGATTTTTCCCTTGCTTTCACCATGTTCAAATGCAAATTTAAAACAAACAAAAAAAACAAAGAAAAACAAAAAAATCTTTAAAAGAAAGTTCTTCTATATAAATATAAAAGCAGAATTAAATATTATTTTATATTAGGGAAGGTCATAAAAAGCTTCTTTTCTATAATAGTGTGATATGAACCATTTTTATTTACCTATACACATACTTTCTCTTGTTGAAGCAATGAAGACAAAATACATTTAAGCATGCCTTGAAAAAAAATGCTTTCATATTTTGTCATCTTAAGGACAATGAAAACAAAAGCATTACTCCCCTGTCTTCCCCTAGCAGCACCAGAAATGTAATATCACAATTTCTTTGTTGTTGCTTCTCAACCACATGGATTTGTCCTATTCCTGGCTTTTTCTTTTCCACAATCACAAGCTTTAGATCCACTTTGACAACAGTCAGGCAGGAAGCTACTATCTTAAAAGTGTCTACATTATATGTAGTATGACATTTTTTAGGTTATTTTAGAATCTTTTACAAGGAAACAACTGTAAACTTGAATAGCTAAAATAAAGTAATTTTTCTTACCATTTGAGGTAAACAAAAATCGTTTGTCTGACAGTGAGCCACTATAAGAAAAAAAAAGAGGAAAAGATATAGTTGTTGAGCATTTCAGGAGCTCCTTATAACTAGCACAGGAAACACAGATTCATTGTGGGATAAAGTATTTTTGTTATACAACAAATCTTAATTTAAACGATAGCTAATATCTTTTGTTTGACAGCCTCCTTCTGTCAAAGAAACTTTTGTTTCTGCCATCTGACAAAATTCAGGTCTGGCCACAATGCTTGTGTTTTAAAATTATGGCCCGTCCCCCCAGACTGTTATCCTCATCATACATTCCTTCCCTCATCTGTTACCCAAAATCTTTATAGCTGATGGGCAATTTCTTGCAAATCCCATTCTCCATCCACTCCTCACAACTACGAAAGAAGTGCACATTTCTAAAGGCCACCCACCATACAGCCCCAAAATGCTTTGCTGCAATAAACAAGAGTTCTGTATCTAACAACGTGGCACCGTTCTAAACGTGAGACTGTTTCTTCTTTCACTTTCACCAACATAAATCAAGAAAACTCAGTAAAGTCACAATAGTTATTGTAATGTAAATCAAATCCCACCCAGTGAGTTAAACAACTGCTGCGACTAAATCACGCTTTGTTCTCATTTCTATAACTATGGCCAAACTGTATGCTCATAATGTGAAAAAACTGTGCTCTATCAAGGCTAAAAGCAAGGTGTATATAATAAGATTATAACATAGTTCCGCTATAACCAACTCTGAGGAACATCAATAGAAGCACCTGTTTCACTTTGAAGTCAGACAAGTTTGCTATCTTTCAGTCCTACTTCCTCTAACCTGAGATATTATAATATAAAACACAGACCAAAAGTTAACTTTGCTCAACTCCACAAAGATATACATCATACACAGCAAGTGGAAAATAGCCAAGATGTTCAAAAGTGCCTACTAATTTTGATTGCTCAACCAAATCCTCTGAAAATTGGTTTAATTTAAAATGAAAGAGCAGTTTGCAGTTCCTGAAAATCTGTTCCCTTCACTATGTCTCAAGTTATATACCCCAAATCAATAGTCCTATCTGAAAAATCATGGTTAGTGTGTTATGCTTTAAAATAACTTTTGCACTAATGGGACAACCCCTAGTGGTTGCTATAAAATTGCAGAACAATATTTCCTTATTTCTATTCTCTAGACTAGTAGCAACCTATAGATTAATTTGTTTGAGAACAAAGCTGTAGAAAATTAGGGAGAGAAAGGGAAACTGACCCCAGATAAGGACCAATAAAAGCACTAGTTCTTTTGTCCACCTTCTAGATATGAGAAAGACCTAGAATTTCCAGAAAGTATTAAGATGGTTTAGCCATGATCAACTGTTGTTTGGTTAACATTTTTTGTAGGTCATTAAAAGGCTAATTCGTAATAACTCATCTTTTTCATGATGCAATTGGTAGTATTTCTGCCATGACTTTCAGACCAAAATGAAATTTGTGCTATTATGTAGATGTCCATTTCCTTATTAGCCTTAAGAAAGCTTTCTAGCAGACAGCGACTGCGATAAAGGTGTACGGAGGAATCCACTTTACAGATACTTGTACAAACATATTCTGTTCCACTGAGGAATTTTACATTAAAAATTAATATTAGAGTCAGATTCAAGGGAAGTTTTGTAAACAATGCAGTTTAAACCAAAATCTCAAACTTTCCAATTAATGAACAATTGTAATTTCTGTTTTCAGAGAATACTATTTTTGCATGGAAAGAGGTTCAGAGAGCCTCACAACCCAGCTCTGGTAGCAAAGTTAAGCCCACATGTTTATACTTGAATATCAGAACTGCCCAATAAATCTGAATCCTGGCCACTATATCTTCATTTTATAGTACTTATGTCTAAGTCCAAAGACAGATCGTGAAAACTGCAAATCACAGATAACAGAAGCATAACAAATATACTAAAAAATGAAGCCAGAGAGGCCAAGGTCAGGTCTGGAATGCTGGTAAGTGAGCAATTCATAACTTAAATGTCTGTATAATAATGTGATAGTTAGGGGCTCAACGCACATAAGCAGCAGCATTTGATGAGGTCAATTTCAGATCAAGTCACTAAATGAAATATATATTTAATACAGAAATCCAGTATAAATGAGTTTTTATTCAAAGTATCGTTAGCTTTTATTTAAAGGGGATTTTTAAGTTAATAAAAATACTATTGTCTGTATGCCAAAGAGATTTTTCACAGGACTGACAGTTTCAAGGAATTTTATTCCAGTGCCCGTGTATTCCAAGGACAGAAAAGCTATTCAGAGCTACTAATGTGCATTATAAAACCTCTTTTAAAGGTTGAAATAGGCTGGTTGCTCACTAAATTATGCCCATTATCTTTTTCTTGGAAAACACTCAGTTTACTCATGCTTTGAAATACCTGTCTTAGATGGGAAGGGGCTCCCATGGTTTCTGACCTCAGTTCCAGCTCTCTGTGGAAGCTATTCCACTGCTCCCTAGCCATGTTATCCAATGAATGTTAAATGCAAGGTGCATAAAAGTCACAAAATCAGGTACCAGAAATAGGGGCATAACTAGGGAGGGTTGGGGGGCTATAGCCACCCCAAAATTCACTGTAACCCACTTGTAGCCACCCCTCCCAGCACCATCCATGTCCAAGCACCCTGCACCTCCACCCTGGGCCACTGCTGCCTACCCAGTGCAGCTGAGTTCACCCCGCTCCTGCCTGCAGAGGGGTGGCACTCCTCACCCAGCCCATGGGGCCTGTGTCCCACCTTTGTCTGGGTAAGGAAGAAAGGACATACTGTGTGGATAACATCCTTTTATGGATAACATGGATAAAACACATGTTTAAAGTGGGTATTGTTAAACAACAAATGTTTGGCCAGAAAATGTATATTGCAGCACCCAACTCGATTTTCTGTCTAGCCCACTTCAGCCCCCCGCACCAGGAAGAAGCTGGTGCCACCTCTGACCAGAAATCAGGGCTCGCTTCCTTATAGGTAGGGATTTACTCAATTTGCAATTTTGCGGAAATAGCAAAAACTGGGCATTGTCTGTGAAATCAGGCAATGTCCATGAAATCAGTGAATCCTGGGACATCATTCTCCCATTGTACTCGGCCTTGGTGAGACCGCAGCCGGAGTACTGCATCCAGTTTTGGGCTCTGCAATTCAAAAAGGATGTGGAAAAGCTTGAGAGGGCGCAGAGGAGAGCCACGCGCATGATCAGAGGTCAGGATAACAGACCTTATGATGAGAGGCTGAGAGCCATGGGACTCTTCAGCCTCGAAAAGCACAGGCTCAGGGGTGATCTGGTGGCCACCTATAAATTTATCAGGGGTGACCACCTGGATCTGGGGGAACGTCTGTTCACCAGAGCACCCCAAGGGATGACAAGATCGAATGGTCACAAACTCCTCTGCGACCATTTCAGGCTGGATATAAGGAAGAACTTCTTTACTGTCCGAGCCACCAAGGTTTGGAATAGACTGCCGCTGGAGGTGGGTCAAGCACCTACTTTGAATGCCTTCAAGACACTTTTGGATGTTTATCTTGTTGGGATCCTATGATCCCAGCTGACTTCCTGCCCTGGGGCAGGGGGCTGGACTCGATGATCCTCCAGGGTCCCTTCCAGCCCTAATGTCTATGAAATCTATGAAAGAGAAAAAAAAAAACTTACTAAAAATAAAATGCTGGTTCCCCAGAGGGAGCCAGCAGTCCTCATGACTGCTGCGGTCCAGCTGCGTAGCCCATTGGGGGAAAGATGGGGGTTGGTGGGGAAGAGGGCTGTCAGCATGACAGGGAATTGGCAAGATGGTTGCCACCTCCACCCCTAGCTGCTGACTGGCTGAGAGGGCTGCCTGTTGTGTGGCCCCACCCCTCTCCATCAGTCAGTGGGGTGGGGCTGCATGATGGACAGCCTTCTTGGCCAATCAGCAGCTCAGGACAGGGCCACTGGAGCCCCTTGGCTAGAGGCATGGGGGGGGGGAGGTGAGCGCCACGATAAGCCTGCAAAAATGGCAGCTGGCTCCACAATCTTCCTGCCAAATTGGCTGCTTGCTTCCTCGGTTTGAATAGGTCCCTACTTAGAGGGACCCATCTCAATGAACCATGCTCTTTTGGCTTGCTCTTCTGGCCCCACATTTCTTCTCCTTTTTGTTACCTAACATGTCCACTTCAAGAGAAGGGCTGGAGGGTGCCCTGGACAATACTGAGCCATGTCCTGGTGGGTACAGCATTTGCTGAGAAGTGGGAGACATAAATTTAAACCATCTTAAGTGAGAGAAGCCTAGAACCTGGGTCCTTCCACTTACTTGGCTAGTACGCTAACCACTGTACTTCTGGGTTAAAAGACAGGAGAGTTCTCTTCCTTCTCCATCCTATTCCAGTACAGGTGGATATAGAAAATATCATTTGGGTAAATGCAATCACTCCTCAGCCCTCCAAAAAAAACTCCAAATACCCACAATCAAACACAGCACAGCTTGATGTAAATTGAAATTTGTAGTAATTAAAGCATGTAAGACATGAAACATTCTGCTTCAGTGTTTGGCTCAGAACTAAGGTCAATTGAATAACAGTATCAAAAATCTCACAACACTGTGTAGGGGTTTAGGTTGTAGCCGTGTTGGTCTAAGGACATAGGCAAACAAGGTTCCTTGGGTGAATTTGATATCTTTTATTAGACCAACCCAAATAGTTGGAGAATAGTTATTAAGCAAGCTTTCGGGTTCAAAAACCCTTCGTCAGGCTAAGAAAGTTTCAGCAGTTGGTGTGTGCTCTTCCTGGATGGAATACAACACTGTGTATGCATCTTTTACATGTTAGCTATCAATACTGTGCTGAACACCAACACATTCAGAAAGGAGAACATTGGAAAGAATTGCTGAAGTGTTGTCCCATTAGTTTTGGGGTTTTTTTTCCAGATACAGCTGGATGATTATGTCACCAGCTCAACTTTCAGAGGCAAACCTCCATGAGACTTACTCTTGTGAAAGAATGCCGTTGGCTAGAATTCCTTCATATCGACTTATTCCCTTCTGCTGAATGACACTGATCTGGCCACCTAGCTCATCTGTAATAATTCCTGCATGTATGGCCGATTTGCACAACAAGGAGGTCTGAAATGCAGAAATCTGGGGTCAAACAAACTGCAAAATCTAGCAAGTTACTTATACTTTTTAATCACAAATGCATGAAAGCTAAAGATCATAAAATCCTGGAAAGGCAAAAAACATTAAGGATGGCTTAGAACTAAACACTTCCCAACAGCCAAATTCTTCAGGAGAAACAGGTGAACACTTTGTTCCTACAGAAGTTACTTCAGGATTATCTAACAAAGAAATATCCCAGGGGGAAGGATGGGCCAGTGGTAAACGTGCAAGCCTTCAACCTAGGAGACCTAGCTTCAATTCTCTACTCCAGTGGTTCTCAATTTTTGGTACCTTACGTAACCCCTGCCGATTGATGTGGCAAAAGTGAAACTGGAAGTTCCACCGTAGCACTTTCAGTTTCACCACTGTGAGCTCAGTCCCACTTTTTCCACCACGGACCGGGGCAAAGCAGCCTGCATGGGGCCTCCCTCCCTATCCCCTGGCACACAGACGCTGGGGAGTGAAAGCCTCGGTGCACTGGACATTGCGGGAAGGGTGGCGGATGGAACTTGTGGCCCAAGCAGGCAACGACCAAAATGCAGCACCTGTGTACCCCCTGCCTGTGTCTTGGGTACACCCAGGGGTATGCCTACCATGGGTTGAGAAACACTGCTCTACTCTGCTGCCAACTCCTTCAAAATTTTAAGAGAGTCCCTTGCATTGGCACAGCTAGGATTTTGAAAAGGGGGTGCAGATGGTAAGGCACTTCATCACAAATGACCCAGCACATTTTCTCCAGTTGAAGAGAAACCAGATGCTTTACTAATATGCTAGGGGGCTAGTACTATACAAATACAGCTATTGGAATGTGCACTGATTTGCCACATGATATATAACATTTAAAAAAACATAACAAACAAGGCAAAAAATAGTATAAAAGATTTTATAGTTAACTGTACAGTTGTCATTTAGATATATAAAACAAAATTCAGCATCCCTGAGCATCTTGACAGTGACTCCAATACTTCTCTGTCAGTCATTTCTACTCTTGGGTTAGTATTACCACACCTGAGTAAAGGTTTTTAGTTAGAACTAAAAAGAATCTTTAGGGCTATGAAATACAAGAGAGACTACCAGGAACGGCTAACAGACAGAAAAATTGCAAAAGAAAGGGCAAGTTGAAGAGTAGAACATCAAGACCATAAAAAGGATAGAGGGTTATTAACACATGTGGAATGGAGAGAGATTAGCAAGAATCCGGGCGATGGCAATGAGCTATGAAGTCAATCAACTTTGTCAGCACTGCCTAAACAGAAATGTGGCTGCCCCTCCCAGGCCATTGGTTTTAAAGCTTGGGTGGAGCAGGAATCAAAGGGGAGTGCAACTGCATCATTGTACCCAATTGGGGTCTGCCCCATATCCCTTAGGGTGCCTGTACACAAGTGTGGAGGCTGCTCTGAAGCACTGCAATTACAGTGCACTGAGGCAGACTCAACTGAGTGGTAATTGCTGCATTCCAGCCAGCTTTCCTGTCCTGTGTATCAGCATCCTCCTGCTCCAAAATGGCAGCAGGGGCTGTTGAACTAAAGCTTGTTGAATGAGCTTTAGTTCGTACCCCCGCCACCATTTTGAAGTGTGGGGACGTTGATACGTAAGACACTGCAGTGCTTTAATTAGGGTGGCTCTTGCAGCCACCCTAATTAAGGTGCCATCTCCCACCCCCGAAGCATGTGTAAAAGTGCCCTTGGTTTCTCCCTCCGTAGGACCAATGTAGGAAGTGTGCTCAGTGCAACAAGTAACAGCAGGTTACTTGTACTCTGCAATTTGCTTAACACCCTTGATACCAACATTCTGTTGCTATGACAGAAACAACATGAATGAACAGTAAGAATTAATGCTCTATTCCTCCCACAGAAGGAAAAAAGAAAAGTTAATTTAACTGCTATAATTGGGGGGAGGAACAATCAAAAGTACTGCGTGGATTTGTTTTCACTGAATTTAGACATTCAGATTATTTGTGTCAGTTTCTTACTCTGGACAATGTCTACAACAGGGACATCCAGCAGTTCAAGTCCATCATTGTTAACAATACTGGGAGCCCTATTATACACTGGCTGCCATTGACAATTCAAGTACCATGTCAGTTATACCAGAATTAATGGGTACTGTACTTCATGCCAGCAACCCACTTACACAAGAACTCCCAATGTTATTAACATCTGAAGACCTCAACCATTACTAGCAGCATTAGGAACAAAACCCTAGCACAGGCAAGATATGAGTGAGATCATGCTGTTGGCTACTTTTAGTTTCTCATCACCAGGTGTGGGACCTTTTTCGTGGGCTTCACTGCAACTTTGTTGTTGATGTTCATGTCATTTCATCAGTCAATGTCATTTCAATTTTACAGTATAGAGCAATGCTTGAACAATTGCTGAGTAGCTTACACATATACTGCCTTTTCAAAAACTCAATTATTGATACATTTGTGAAGAGAAGTGACACTATGTATTATGTTCAGGCTTATCTGGATATAAAATGGAGGGATTAGAAAGATTTCACAGGGAGAAGGTTCCAGTAACATGTGGCAGCTGGAAGGCAGGACAGGGTATGGCACAATATATAGCTAAATCTAATCACT